ATGCCTGGGGTTCTTAAGTTGAATCTGTATGTAAGTCGGAACTGGTGTCCAGACTGATCAGTTTCAGCAGCGGCTGAATCTGGACGCCAGTTCCGACTTACATACAGATTCAACTTAAGAACAAACCTACAGTCCCTATCTTGTACGTAACCCGGGGACTGCCTGTATACTGTTTTCTTTCCAGTCACTGATAAAAATGCTACCCAGCATAGGGCCAAGAACCAATTCCTGCAACACCCCACCTAGAAATACACCTGCGCAATGACAACTCCCTGTTTACCATTACGTTTGCTGGCTTTTATTCCCTTGAGTGTGGGCCATGGTAATATTTCATCTTCTAGTTTAACCAAGATACCATGTGGAACCAAGTCAAATAGATGTTGTACAGAAGTCAATCTATTTTCCATAAACCCATGATGACTCATTAATATTATCGTCCCCTAATTCTCTCAATGGAGTGTTGCATCAGCCACTCCATTACCCTGAGGATAAAATATTTCACATTTTTAGCCTGAAATCTGTTTCGCTAGATGTCCTTGCTAGAAATAGGAGTAAAAGGATTGACTGGCCCCCTTCCCGTTTAGTCTGTACCTCTCAGGCATTCGCCTCCTCAGCTTACAAGTGCCACTTTGATTCACATTCTCCTTGTACGTCAAAGTTTAGCCAAAGCACTTGCCAGCAAATAGCGATATTTAAGGCATAGTGATCAGAAGGGACGACCACATTCCAAGTGATGCTGTGCCCATTTAGCACTCAATATTTTCTATCCCATTCTTTACTCTGAGCTATTCAGTGATTATTTGACCATGGATGTTTACTGTGTATTCATGCCCAGGGCTCTTTCCTGAACTGATCATTTAGAACCTCACCATATCTGTGCGGTTCAAATTGTATCGTCCAATGTACGAGACTCAACTCGCATCTCCGCTCATTTACCTAGTTATTAGACTTACCAAAGGGTGCCTAGCCTCACGTTTTTCAGTTCATGAGATGCAGGTGGTGGTGAAACAGTTCACACCCTGGGTAATTCACAATTAACTCCCTGAAGCCTTGCAAAGTAGGTCACTTCCCTTAGGGAGAACCCAGACTTCCCCCTTGGAGCAGTCTCCTTGAATGCAACATGAGCACCTCTGGGCAGGGATGGGACAGAACAGAAACCGCTATACAGCGTCAGCCTGTTTCTTAGTGTAGTCCCCTTACTAAAGGTGCCTCTGATTATTCTCTGGGAAGATCCAGTGTGCTGCAATCTAGCCCCAGAGACTACAATTCCTACGAGCCCTGGAGGAAACCAGGAAGGAAGGACCGTTTGGGTGCTAGGTCTCTCTGCTGAGAGTCTCTCCATGCAGTGGTCTGGGGACTCTTCCCTTTTCTTTTTGGAAGAGAGGAGCCAGGCTGCAGGAGGAGTTTTAGCCAGTCCAGGAGCTGTTTGAATCCCAAGCCTGTAACTGCGACCTGAGCCTTTGGAACTGGAATCTAGCAGGCTGCTTCTGATCGCCCTTTGGCTGTACCTGTGGCTAGAAGTGCTACTCTGCACCCAGAAGGAGACTAGAATCATCCACTCCAGCTGCAAAATATTCAAGCACACCCACGCAAGCAAGAGTATGGCCCTGAGGAGTGCACACTCTGGGGTGTATGCAAGTGCCAGATAGGTTCCTATTATTTCTGTGTACTTTGTTAATGCTATTCACTGTTGATCTGTTAACCTCTTAACTTAAAGAAACAGAGGTTAAGTTAAAAGGTTGTTCATTCTACTGTAATCTATCAGATGTAGACTATTTAGGATTTGTAATTGTTGTTCTGGAGCTAGATCCAGATTATTGCTGGAATAATTTTATTCCTGGAGGCTCCCAAGGCACACCATTAAGTGTGTACAGGGCCAGCCAGGTGGAGGCACAGCCATTGTATGTTCCTTACGAGCAAGGGACTGCAGCAAGGGAGTGAACAGGGTTTCCCCAACTAATCACCACCACCGTGTTAAAACCATCAGGCGCCCAGGCATGCCTGTGAGTGTGACCTGCTCCAGAGTAACCAGGGGAGGAAAAAGGGGGTTACATTAGGTTAGCTCGTCACATCTGCCTCTCATTGGCATGCAGCATGATAAATTGCTGCATGGCCTAAGGATGTTGAATTCCAGCCAAATGAGTAACTTCCTCTATCTAGGAACTTGCAAGTGTTATGAAGACAGGTGCCCACAGTTAAGCCTCCAGATGCAGCTGTCGGGGAGGGGGGGGGCAGGACTGGCTGGCCCCTCAGAAAGACGGATTAGTACTACTTTGAGGGGGCTGGTTTTGCTCCAGATGTCCCTTGGAGACTGAAGGAACACTGAGGGCCAAAACGGCAGAGATAGATTTTCCTTCTTCCTTGCCAGGAAGGTATGAACAAGGTAACCAACACTGCCCTGATCCGCCCATCAAGTCTGCTTGACACAGAGCCTCCGGTTCGAAGTGTGGAAATTCAGATTCTCCTGACCGTTCCACAGACGAGGTCTCCCACAAATGCAGCACGAGGCACCACTGAGCACAGGAATCCTGCCTATGCCCGAGCCCAGTGGTGAGTAGTACACCCACTGTGCTGTACTATGCAAGGAAAGCTGGTTTAAGAGCTGCAATGCTACCTCCTGTCTCCACAGCAACAGTGTACACTAGCCCCGGCAGCATTTATAGGAGCCCTGCGAGAGCTACTGCAAACCAGAATGTGAGTACAGGCAGTCCCCGGGTTACGTACAAGATAGGGACTGTAGGTTTGTTCTTAAGTTGAATCTGTATGTAAGTCGGAACTGGCGTCCTGATTCAGCCGCTGCTGAAACTGATCAGTTTCAACAGCAGCTGAATCTGGACGCCAGTTCTGACTTTAAGAACCCCAGGCTCCGCAGCTTTGCTCTGCTTTGCTCCCCGTCCCCCTGGACTGCAGACCAGGGGGACGGGGAGCAAAGCGGCGGAACACGCGGGCAGCAGACAGCCCAGACGCATCTGGGCTGACACGTCTGGGCTGTCCGCTGCCTGCGTGTTCCGCCGCTTTGCTTCCTCTCCCTGGTCTGCTGGACACCAGGGAGAGGGAGGGCCCTGTTCGTAACTGCGGATCCGACATAAGTCAGATCCGCATAACTCGGGGACTGCCTGTAACGGAATGGGAGCAGGCTCTTCAACCCTGTGGGGTGCTGCAAACAGACTCAAGGAGCTAGACTTACAAAGTCAAGGGCTGAAATCCCACTGCTGCCCCTTGTGTAGTCAGGCACCAATGATACTAACACCGGGCCCGTGCACACAAATGCCCTGACTGTATGCTAGCCTCCCTCCTCTTGCATCCACACCCGCTGGTCATTTCTCTTCTGAGCAGAGTAAGCTCTTTAGGACAGGACCTGTCCCTCCCCATCAGAGGTGGGTAACAAGAGAGCTCGACTGGCTGCCCCCCAGAGTGACTCACGATCAGGAATACCCAAGACTCCAGACTTCTGCAGTGAGGTCCCAGGAGGGAAGGAGAGGGTGTCAAAATCCCGGTTTCCTACCAGGATCAAGGCAGCGCCAACCATAAGGACACTTGAAAGAGGCCTATATTCCCTGTGCCCCTACATGAAGGGCACTCTGTAAAGAACGTAGCAGGAGACGTCCACATGCAGGATCATTATGATTTTTGAGCCCAAGTCCTTAGGGAATGCAGATGCTGAGGGGGTGCAGTGAACATTGCAAAACCTCTCCAACTTCACCTCAATTTGATCCCAACTCGTTCCCCACATGTGGCTGTAAATGGCAAGTGAAGTGAGTTGTGGGGCAGAACTAAAGCTAGTTCCTAATTAATAAGCACGTGTCATCTGTGTTAGCAATCTCGGCAAAGAGAAAAAAGCAGCCGTTGCACAGACCATTTACTAACATGAGGGGACTAGATGCTCAATATACATTTTAGAATAGTAGGCATTTCAACCTGAACCCCAATCTTCTTTCAATGTGCACATCCAATGGCTCAGCTATTAGCTAGCTGCTTTCATAGAAGAGATGTTACCTTCTTGGCAATAAATACCAAGAATATCCAGAACTCAGAACGAGGGCTGGAAAAGGTTAACCGATTACCCAGTAAGCATTAGCATTACTAGTATGCTTACCCAATAACTGGTTAATCGGAAAACCAGCCAGAGAGGTAGGGGACAGACACCGCCCACTGTGACCCAGCCAGTGTGACCCCAGCTGGCCAGAGCAACCCTCCACATGGCGGGACCCAGGCCAAGGGGAGCAGCCCCGTGCCTGCTGCAGTATGGCGCAACCCCAGCCGACTGGAGCAGTCAGCCTCTGCCTGCATGGGACCACAGCCCCAGTGTTAAACTACTACAATTATGTCAGTTGACTTTAATGGCTACTTACATTCCTACTCAGAACACAATTTGAACAGAATTTATCAGCTGCTACAGTTTGATAAGGCCAAAGTTGGAGAAAGCCATTTCCTTAAAGACAGAACCACATTCTGCCACGAACTGCAGGGTGCACAATAAGCTCTAACAGACATTACTAGCTTAGAACTAGCTGGAAACCATGCACAAAAGCAGACACCAGTATTTCCAGAAAACATTTTGCAATTTAATACACTTTGCAGTCTCTGCAGACCAGAATCTCATGCACAGCCATGCATTAAGAGATGACAAATAATTTTACAAGGTATCCTTGAACACTACTGAAAGATTGTAGATTATTTTAGCTTAATCTGTAGTTGACTATACTCAGAGCAAAGGGCTAAGATTCTTTTTTTCAAGTGCCTAAAATACATCCCATTATAGCAGCTCAGCATAGCTTGTATTTTTCAAGACAGGCCACATTTAATGAGGAGCTTACATTTAGACAACTGTTTTTCAAAAGCTTGGCTATACTATCACGGCTCTACAAACTCATTGCTGGTTCAGAGCCAGCATTCTGAATGTGTTACAAAGCTAATGTAGCCAAATTACAATTTAACAATCCATGTGCAAACAAACTGGCAACATTTTAAAGCAAATAAAATTGTATAGGTATACTAACATCCTAGTCTTGGGATATCCAGTCAAGCTAGGCAAGGAGATGTGTTTGTCCCTTGCATACTCCCAAATGTGGAAGTAGGATCAGAAACTGGATCTGGAAGAAAGGGTAAACAGCATGTTAGTTAACTTCACAGATGACATGGGGAGAGGCTGCAAACATTAGTGAGGACAAAAATACAAAGTGGATCTAGAGAGGAACACAGCACAGACAAGTACATATGAAAAATCATCAAATGTTCAACGATAAGGACATGGAGCAGAAAGGAGCAAGTTGAAAGAAACCTAGGAGTGACAGTAAAAGCTAGTTGGACACAGACACTGCAAGAGGATTTTGAAGTACAGAGGTATCAAAAAGGAGCAGGGAAGGGAAAATCCTTCCTTATGTGACCTCTGAGCCACTAATGCCATCAATTTACACCATGCTAGGGATCAAAAAATTCACTCCCACACAGCAAGTAAAAAGCTTTCCTCAGCAGATGCCATCAAGTTCTGCTCAACTGACGAAATCACTAGCTACTGTGGTCCAAAACTCTGCATTTGTAAGGATGGCCACCAGTCAATAGAGCGGGATTCTCCTGTGCCTCCTAGCTTTAACTAGCACCAGAGTGAAAAAGATCTGCTTTTGGGCAAGTTCTTAGCAGCAACCAAGACAGGCTCTTCTGCTATTCACAGAGAACAGGAAAATTTGTGTGTCGCTCGCCTGAAAATTTCCTTTTGTGAAGCAATGTGACCCTCAGCTCTATGGCATGCATAGCCTTAGACAGACCCAATTACTGTCAGTCTGTGGACAGGGTGATGTGGCTCCTCCACCTCTGAGAAGCTCACACCATTGGAGAGACTTTCATTGCATCCATAACAAAAGCCTTAAGTTGGAATACCAACAAGTTCTCCTGCAGGGCAAGGATTTTAGTGAAGAACAAGCTTGAGTGCCCGTTGATAATACCACAGCTTTCCCAAATTTACAGCTCAAAGGGGCTTGGATTTCAATACACAGTTTTCTTGTCTAGAAGGAGACCCACAGATCTAAAGACCCGAGGAATTTCATAGCAGTGATCTTTCTGCCCATGAAATTGCCACAGCTCAGAGAATGAGATGACTTTTCAAAACCGGAGTTGCATTTTTTACTGGAAACTCAGAAGCATCAAGTATTTTCACTGCCTAGAATTGGAAGAGAGAGTGCTTCTGTTCCAATTGATGACACCAGCTGATGAAGGATCAGTCTATTTGTGCTTTTCCTGACCAGAGTGGCGTGATTCATTCATATTTTGAGAGTTCTGTTTAAGGGTAGTTCCTGAGCTCTATGGAACCTGGAGTTAATCTTTGGCACAAAGGCAGAAATCACTTGTGAGCACCCATCTCTCTCTGGAAGATACAGTAGTGGAGATACCATGGAAAAAGCGCTTCCCACTCAGATCCTTCAAGCTGAAGAGTTTTAAAAAATAGGTCACTTCAATTGGTTAGGTAGCATGGAGAGAGACTTTTCTGATCAGTTCAACCAGAAAGCCTGTGAAGGACTGAACTGAACGTGTACCTCATGGAAAGCCTCTTGTATCCTTCTGAAGGACGCAGAAGAGACTGCTCTCCAAACACCACTGGAAATCTGGGTAAGATTAAATCCACATTTCACCTGCTGCATGAAGATGTTAGACAAAAGCAGCAACTTGACCTTTACTTCAGACTGGACTCAGGACAGTCCTGGCGACACTAAGTCTCTGGTACGGATGCAGAATCACTTTTGGGAGGGTGAGCCATCCCTGTCCTGCCAGCTATGGGCAAGCCTCCGCCAAGCTCATGAATAGGTTGAATTAGACAATCTTTTTCTGGAAGCTGAAGTAAGGATATTACCTCTTTGACTTGAGACTGTTCAAGGCGCAGGCAGCCACTGTCCAGACTCTCATGCATTAACTGGCTGCTTTAAAAGCAGATTCCTTCTCTGTAGAAAGCTGATGGCAGGTCTGTGTGCTGCCTCAAGGAGATCCCTGAGGATTCCTTGTCCAGAAGGCAGCTACCTAAAAAAATGCATCTAGGAATCCCTTCGGCCACTTGGTCAATAGGGCCTCTGTGGTCTTAGCTTTGTAATCGCAACAACAGAACCCTGGAGCTTTGCCTCAGTTGGGATAGCATCTTGTCTGGTGGGTATAATCTGTGGCCATGACCAGGGCTCGCCACGGTCCGCATGTGCAGATCGCCCGAAACCAGCTCTTACGGATTGTAATCTACTCCCCGTGGGCAACTAGATGACAGATTGTTGAGCCCTGGCCATGACACTGACAGGTCACATCAAGTCCTCCATAGAAGATGGCCTGAGAACTGCTATGCATTTGGGCTGTCAAGTAATTTGAAGAAGTGGCATGCTTAGCCATGCTGTTAAACAGAATACCAGCAATATAAATATATGTGGATGCTTTTGACTTTTGCAAATGTTGATTTATAATGCAACACTGTATAGGAAGTGTCCAGTGCTCAGTGTATATTTATTTTTGATTATTTCTTTTACAGTGCAAATATGTAGTTCTCAATTGCCCCAACACAAGTACCGTGGTGCAATCTCATCATAAAAGTTGAACTTATGAATGTAGAATTGTGTACAAAAAATTCAACTAGTGTAAAACCGTGGGCTCAAGTCCGCTCAGTCCTGCTTCTTGTTCAGCCAAACAAGTCTGGTTACAATTTGCAGGAGAAAGTGCTGCCTGCTTCTAGTGTTCGGTCACTTGAAAGCGAGACCAGGCAGGCGTTCGTTTGCATGGCACCGCTGTAGCTGGCGTTGCAAGGTATTTGTGTGCCAGATGCGCTTGAGGATTCAGATATCCCCTCATGCTTCCAGCACCATTCAGAAGGTTCTTGCTGATGGGGTTCTGCTCAATGAAGACCCAAAGCACAGGGGATTGGTGCCTGTTCACTGGCATTGGCTCAGATGCCACCATCAGAAGGTGGATTTCATTTTTTGCTGGATCGGGTTCTGTAATTTCAGCATATTTGGAAACTTCTGAAAGCATGCCCCACACCTCATCCCTCTCAGATTTGGGACAGCAGTTCAGATTCTTAAGCCTTCGGCTGAGTACTGTAGCTATTATTTAGACATCTCACATTGGTACGTTCTGTGCATTTTGTCAATTCTGCAGTGAAAGTGTTCTTAAAACAAACGTGTGCTGGGCATCATTCGAGACTGCCATCCCATCAAATATATGGCAAAAGGAGGGTAAAAACACTCAAATAATTAATGCATTATGTTCTTTACCAAATGTCAACATGGAAGAATACGAATGCCTTCAGGAATGGTGGCAAAGCATGAAGGGGCACACAAATGTTTAACATCTGACATGTAAATACCTTGCAACACCTGCTAAAAAAATTGTCATGCAAACCAATACCTGTTCTCACTTTCAAGTGACATTGTAAACAAGCAGCAAGTGGAGTTATTTCCTGCAAATTATAACCAACTTGTCTGAGCGACTGAATAAGAAGCAGGACTGAGTGAACTTTAGACTCTAAAGTTTTACTTCTTTTTGAGTGTGGCTATGTAACAAAAAAAATCTGCATTCGTTAATGCGTTCACAGTAAAGAGACTGCACTACAGCAGTGTCTCTCAACCAGTGGTACAGAGGCACTCAAGAGAAGTTGGGGGGAGGGGGAGTCAACTGAAATTTGGAGAAAAGTGAATTTGTTTTAAGTTTTACAGCACTTTTTATACTTTTTACACCCAAAAATTGTGACACCCTCCTGGCTATGATTAAATTGTTTAAAAAAAATGTGTTGCAATGGTAGGAAAAAAAGTGTGTCTGAAAACTGTAGGTACTGGGGTGCTTTTTTTTTTTTTAAGGGGGAGTACTTTATAAAAAAGGTTGAGAAACACTGCACTATAGTACTTGCATGAAATGAGGTGAGAAATACTAATTTTATCACTTTTACAGTGCAAATATTTGCAAAGATAAAATAAAGTGGGCACTGTACTATTTGCAAGCCATGTTGAAATAAAAACATTTGAAAGTGTAAAAAACATCCAAAATATTTCAACTCGTACCTATTGTTTAATTCCAATTATAAAAAATTAATCATGAGTTAGCTACATGAAAAGTGACAACCCCACTCTTAAGGCTAGAAACCATTTCAGAAACACTCAGTGCCATTGTTAAAGCAAAGGGTAGTAAGATGTTCTGGCAGGGTTGTGCTATAAAACCAAAACAGAGAAAGCATCTATGCACCTACCCAGTTGAGTTATGTACTTTCAGCCAATCTAAAGAAGGGAGATGTAGGATGGATGGCTACCTGGCCAGCTTTGTCAAAGGACATTGGAGATCAGCGATTCAGGCTATGAACTTATGCCAAGAGATCCAAAAGATGTCCTGTGAAGTTACTGGACTGCGGTACAACTTTATAGATCATGGTTTTACATTGGCACAAATCTTGTGCCAAGGCTGTCGAGTGAGAGGTCATTAGAAAAGTTGTGATTTGCTGGTTATGACTATCATGTGTGTGCACGTATCCCCTTTGTGCTTGAAGATGTGAACATTGGCTGTGTGCCTGCACTTCAATCTGAGCTCCTGAAGTCTCCCTCACAGAATAGCTAACCAGTGGGTTTGGGAAAGTCTATTCAGGTTGACTGGCTCAAACATTCCAATGGACAACGAGACATGAACAACACTGAATGACCTTTCCTGCAAACCTCCAATCTGGAACGTGGGCCATGGCATCAACCTGCACAGAACTGAGTCTTTCGTGTACAGGGACTTGCCCGTGGGGCTCCAAACGGCATCTAACTGCTGCACGTTTCCACAGCAAGAACAATGGGATTCCTTCCATATAGAGGGAGATGCAAGAGGCCCCGGAAAGCCCTCCATTTGTCTTCAATCCTGCTTCTTCCCTGTGGAGGAACTTTGCAATGAACTGAAGCATCAAACAACGAAGACTGACAGACCCATCTCAGCTGCAGATGTACTCCAGAGACCGGACCTAAGCCAGCAGTTTACTCCATCTCTGCTATATGTCTGCACCAAGAACGTTGCTATTGTAGTATGTATTTGATTCCTTTAACAATTTTAACTCTCACTTTTTTCTTTTATGGATAAAAGGAAAAGCAGCATGTGATCTGGAGGT